CCCACCGACCGCCCCAGTGGCTGCGTTCGCACGCGCCCACCGCATTCATTATTGGTACACACCCTTCACACGTTCCGTGACCCCACAGGGAGCTCCACCGAAGGCCCACATGCAAGCGTTCGCGTGCACCCACCGCAACCATTTTGGCACACCCATCAAACGCTTCGTGGCCCCATCGGGAGTTCCACCGACGGCCCCAGTGGCTCCGTTCGCATGCAGAAATTGCGCCCATTTTGGCACGCCCTTCCCACGTTTAACGGCACCATAGGGAGCTCCAACGAAGTTCCACATCCACATGCCAGCGTTCGCGTGCGCCCACCAGACCCATTTTGCTACACCCCTCGCACGTTTCGTGGCCCCATCGGGAGCTCCACGAGCTCCACCAACGGCCCCAGTGGCTGCGTTCGCATGCGCCCACCGCACCCATTTTGGCACACCCATCACACGCTTCGTGGCCCCATCGGGAGCTCCACCGAGGGTCCACATGCCATCGTTCGCATGCGCCCACCGCACTCTTTTTGGCACACCCCTCGCACGCATCGTAGCCCCATCGGGAGCTCCACCGACGGCCCCAGTGGCTGTGTTCGCATGCGCCCACCGCACCCACTTTGGCACATCCCTCACACGCTTCGTGGCCCCATAGGGAACTCCACCGACGACCTCAGCAGCTGCGTTCGCGTGCGCCCACCGCGCCCATTCCCGCACACTCATCACGCGCTTCGTGGTTCCATAGGGAGCCTCACCAATAGCCTCAGTGTGGTTGCTTCCCTGAGATCCGACGTAGCGAAAAATTGGAACATCGTGAGAATCCGCGCCCAGAGCCCTGGACCCCATCTGTCTGCCTCATTTTTTCGAGCCGCATCGAGCTGTGACGATCTGGGGACTCGGAGCACGGCGAAACCGCCCGGCTCGAAAGGATCGAGTCGCCAGGACCTCACCGCACCCACCGCACCCATTTCGGCACCTCGGCGCTGCACACCCTGCGGCACTGCTGCGGGTCGGCGGCTCTGTGACCGGCTCGGTTTATGAGCGCCCCGCTGCGGACTCTCTCCCGGGCCCTGCTCGGGGGCCCCCGCGCGCGCAGGAGGCAGCTGGAGGGTTTCTCCGAAGGGCTTAGGCGACCCGTCCTCCTCCTCCTCCTCCTTCTCCTCCTCACTCCTCCTCCTCCTCCTCCTCCTCACTCCGTCCTCACTCCTCCTCCCCCTGCCTCCTCCCCCTCCCTCTCTCCTCCTCCTCCTCCTCTCCTCCTCCTCCTTCCTCCCCTCCTCCTCCTCCTCCTCTCTCCTCCTCATCCTCTCCTCCTACTCATACTCCTCTCCCCTCCCTCCTCCTTCCTCCTCCTCGCCTCCTCCTCCTCCTCCTCCTCTCCCCCCTCCCTCCTCCTCCCCCTCCTCCCTCCTCCCCTCCTCCTCCTCCTCCTCCTCCTCCTCCTCCCCCTCCTCCTCCTCCTCCTCCTCCTCCTCCTCCTCCTCCTCCTCCTCGTCGGGTCGCCTACGGCCCCGGGGGAAACCGTGCAGAGGCAGCAGGAATCAGGATCAGGAGCTCCAGCATGAGGAGAAGGACGGTGATGCAGTTAGCACGTTAGCATTGCATGCTGCTGTGCCGCCGTGTTCTGGCGCATCATTTGCTACAGCGCGCGCGTGACACACTTGTGTCGCCGAGCCGTTGGCCACGTTAACTCGTCATGGGTCAGGTCAGCTTTGGCGCAGTGTCGACAGGGCCCGGGTCAGGTTGTGGTAGGGATTGGTTACGTTAGGGGAGGGGGGCTGTAACGGACGAGGAGTTCCAGAGTTACGGATGTTGCGACTGTGCCGGTTACGCTTAAGTCAGGTTGATCGGTCGGCCTTCGGTTTTGCTGTTAAGTCTTAGGCCAGATGCCCCGATACCATCGATCTTGACGAGGCCATCTCCGCGATATTCTTCGGCACGCAGCGGGCATGGACGCTCGAGCTTGGCCAAGCGTTGGGCCGAACGGCTTCCACATGTCCCGCAGAACCAGATTCGACGCCCAGAGTAAAACTTCAAATGGGCCGGCCGCCTACGCCCCCCTGAGCGGCCCTCGCCCCCTTCCCCCCCCCGCCCCTCAGCTGCCCGCCCCCCCTTTTCTCTGCCCACTTGCGTGTTGGCACAATTCGCGGCAACGGTGCCCCTTTTTAGTTTAATGTTTATTCGGGGGGGCATGGCAGTCACCCAAGACACACCACTGAGTGCGGACTGTACAGCGAGAGGCGTGCGGCTAGCGCAAATGCCCACGGCGCGTGCCGTTCTGTAGGACGGCAGGGCTGGTGGAGAGAGGTCTAGTGTGGCCCTGGCTCCAAGCTTCCCTTTGTAGTCAGCTTACATCCGCCAGCGCAGTCGGCCTCTGCCTGGCCGCCGACGCAAAAAAAAGTGTACCTTCGCAGTTCTGTCTTCAGCGTCGAGTAGCGTCGATTAGCGTCTGGGAGTCGAGGAAGGTAGCGCCGATCTAGCGACGATCAGCGTCGATTCAGCGTCGAACAGCGTCGACTTAGCATCGATTTGCAAGGAGCCGGCAAGATGGCACGGGAAACTCCCAGGAGCCGCCACCGACGCGGGATGGAGGACGGAGGAGCCATGGCGTGCTGCAGACCTCTGCAGCGCGAGGGGGCGCGCTGGCTCTGCGGCACCGGAGCGCGGCGCCCCGCCCCGGCCTGCAATAATTAGGCGCGATCCCGGGCGCCTCGCAGCGGTTCTTCGGCCCCAACGGATTCGACAGGGTGCCGCTCGAGGGGGGGGGGGCCCGCCCGCCCGCGCGGCGCTGCCGGGCCATGGCCCGCGCCTCCGCCGCCGCGCTGCTCGCCGCGGCGGCGTGCCTCGGCGCCCCGCTGCGGCCGCCGGCGGCGGCCGCCGGAGCGCGGGCGTTCTCCGCGGCGCGCGTCGGGGCAGGGCCCGCGGGGCCGCCGCTGCCCGCGGCGGCGGCGGCCGGCCGCGCGGAGGGCCCGCGCGTGGCCAGGCGCGGCCTGCTGGGGCTCTTCGGCAGGGCCGCCCCGGCGCCGCCGCCGTGGTATTCACCACTCACCAAACCACCCCAACCCAACCCGAAGGCCTCAATTTGACCTCCATTTCCAGTTGGGGGGGGGTCGGGGAACATCGAGAAAACACATATGGAACCCGTACCCCCCCCAACCCGAAATTCGGGTCTTCGGGTTGGGTTGGGGTGGTCTGGTAGGTAGTCAGGTATTCTCACCACCCACCAAGTCACCCAAAGCCCAACCCGAAGCTCGGGCCGGACGAACGGGGGGGACTGGGAAAGGGGGGGTTACGAAAGTTGCTGCATGCAGCTGGTTTCGGCCCCACCGAGGGGCCCATTCCTCGATACGTAGTCGCCTCCGGCGCTGGGAGGCGCCGGGAACATCAGCTACGTGAGCTGATTCTCATTCCCCCCCTTTGCTATCCCCCCCTTTCGCCCGACCCGAGAAGCCCTCAATTTGCCTTCCATTTCCAGTGTGGGGGGGGGTCGGGGAACGTTGAAAAAACACGTGGGATCCGTACCCCCCCCCCTCAACCCGAAATTCGGGTCAGATTCGGGTCTTTCTAGGCCTCCCAGATGGGGTCGGAGTAGATGGGGTCGGAGGATCGCGCCGCATCGCCAAGGCATCGCCGATGCGGCTCGATGTGGGGCCCGATTTGCTTCACGTCGGCGTCGCCGATACATCGCCCGCGTCGACGATGCATCGCAGGTGCATCGATGCATCGGCGATGCATCGCCGATGTATCGGCGATGCGGTGCGACCCTCCGACCCCATCTACTCCGACCCCATCCAGGAGGCCCCTTTATTCACCACCCACCAAACCACCCCTAGCCCAACCCGAAGCCCTCCATTTGACTTCCACTTTTCAGTGGGGGGGGGGTCGGGGAACGTTGAAAAATCACATGGGATCCGTACAGTGAGCGGCTTGAATAAGGACCACTTACTTTTCAAAAGGGGCTCGGTCGTTCCTCATGCGTTCTTTGTTATTGATCGTTCCTTGTGCGTTATTCCCTGGGATAAAGCAGGGGCTCCGTTCCTTGTTTATCGTTCCTTAGGTCAGGCCGATGACTGTACCCCCCCCCAACCCGAAATTCGGGTCAGGCTCGGGTCTTCGGGTGGGGTGGGGGTGGTCTGGTGGGTGGTCAGGTATGCGCAGCTGCTGGGCAGCAGCAGCGCGCCCGCGCTGTCCCTGGCGCTCGGGGTGCTGCTCGGCGCGGCCGCGGCAGCGAGGGGGCGAGGTCGGGGGAGGAAGCGGTGCCCGTGCCTCCTCCTCCTCCTCCTCCTCCTCCTCCTCCTCCTCCTCCTCCTCCTCCTCCCCCTCGCCCGTTTTCCCCTCTTTCGCAGGCCTAGAGATTGACGCCAACACCAATCTCGGCGGTGTGCCTCCACCGAGGGAAGAAGATCCCGATCTCGGCGATGGTGGTAAGATTCTGGCTTCCAAGGTGGCCGAGCTATTAATTACCACCAACACCGACAACCTAGGAGCACCTTCCCCCTGTGGAGGCAACCCCCTGTCTTGGTGTTGGTGCCCATTTCCAGGCCTCCAACTTTTTGCGCCTCCTCGGAGGCCCTCTCGCCACCGCTGGATTCGCCTTGAGATCCTGGTCAGAGCGCAACCCGGGAGAGGTCCAGGGAGCAGCGGCATCGGTACCTCTTGGTCTCCCAACGAGGTGGCGCGCCCGCGCCGACGTACATCTTCAACAGCAGCATCACCAAGGAGCAGGTGCTCGAAGCTCAGAAGGCCTGGGGCGAGGGGATCGTGAGGATCAGCGCCGCGCACGCCAGCGGGGAGGACTTCGCGCTTCTCGCGAAGGAGCACATCAGGAACCTGTATGGCTACGGCGTCACGGATGTCCTTTTCAAGCCGACTCTGGCCTCAAATATTCAGTTCCGATCCACCTTCGACGAGGCCCTGTCTTACTTCGTGGCGACAAACGGGGTTTGCTCTGAAGACAGGGGCTTTGCCATCAAGGGCTGGAAAGCCGTCCGGTGGGAGAACGTGGATATCACCACCTCCGGCAACACCGCAATGGCCATGGGCAACTATTTCTTCACCACACCGGACGGCGGCGAGGTGAAGGTGGAGTATACGTTCGGTTATTTCCTCGACGCGGAGGGGAAGGTGCGGATCAATTTGCACCATTCTTCGCTGCCGTACGACGTCGGCGTTACCAAGGAGGACGCAATCGCTGTGCAAGACGCGTGGGCTGGCGCCATCAAGAACATCTCGAAAGTGTTCAAGGGCAAAGGCGACTACGTTCAGGCGGGGCGTCGGGCTAATCAAATGTTCCGCCTTGCCGTTTTTCTTTTCGGGGGCGGACAGAACCCCCGCCCTGACACGTCGATTAGTGAATCGTCCGTTTTCGGTTCTCGAGAGGACGCGGAGGCCGTCATTTTCCAGGCCTGCGCCCGCCAGGTTCGGGCCCGAGGTCGTTTTCACTAAACCACGTTTTATTAAAGGGAGTTCTGTCCATCCTCGACCTTTGGTGGTCAAAACGCGTGACCTGCAGGCCATCCCGCCACCGCGCTTGGGGCGTGGATGAGAGGCCTTTTGGAGGCCTCTGCGTTCCCCGTGGCCGCTCGAAATCCTCTTTTGGGCCTCTTGGGAGCCTCTTGGGGCCCTCTGGGGGGTCCCTTTTGGGGGCCTCTGGGCGTCTCTTGAGGGCTACCGTGGGCTGGAGGGCTCCAGATGGCAGTTCGGGGTCCCCTTTTATTCGGCCCTTCAGGGTCTCCTGGAAGCCTCCTGGACCCCCTCTCGGGGGCCTCGGAGGCCCTCAAGGCTAACTAGTCTTGGGGGCTTCTTGGGCCGTCTTGGACACTCTGACGACAACAACGCTGAAGGCGAGGATCACACCAACACCAACGGTTTGTAGACTCGTTTTATTCTCACGTACTACATAACATTATTATATGATATGTATATAAATGTAGTAGGTATGTTTATACGTATATGTACATACATACATATACTTATTTAGAATAACAGCGTGTTCTGTGGACGTTTTGGGGGGGGAAGAACACCCCCCTCATGCCAGAAGGGGGTGGCGTTCGACCCCGCCCCCCTTCCCCCCCTCCTCAAGGGAAGGGAGGGGGGAGGGGGGTTAGGACCCCCCCACTCGCCGCCGGCAAACGACGACCGCGGGCGCCAGCGCCGGCAAACGACGGCGGCGGCCACCCCCGGTCGCCGCTGGAAAACGATCACGGTGGGCGTCAGCTCTGGCGAACGACGACGGCGATGATAGTTAGGTGGTGGTGGTGATGGTGGTCGAGGCGTTGATGATGAGGATAAGGAACAGGATGATAATGATGAAGAGGATGAGGATGAGGTGGATGGGTAGCCCCCCACATTTTCCGGGCGCGCCGAACGCCGAATGTTTGCGGGGGGGGAGGGGGGCGGTTCCGACGTGCCGCTGATTTTGTTCCAAGGCAGGTGTCCGCGAAACGCGCGCGCTCTCTCTCTCTCTTTTTCTATATTTTCGGGGTGGACCGACCTCCTACCCTGACACGTCGATTAGCGAATTGGCCGTTTTCGATTCGCGAGAGGGCGTCGCGGCGGTCATTTTGCGGGTCCAGGTCCGTCGGTTTCGGTCTCAGGCCGTTTTCATTAAAGGGAGGTTTACCAAGGGAGGTTTGCCCACCGCCGACATTCATGTATTTCGTTATTTGTTTTCTTTCTCTCACTCTCTCTCTCTCTCTCTCTCTCTTCTTTTCTCTTGCACTTATTCACATATATATATATATATATATATATATATATATGCTTACGGTAGATGTGTGGGCGTCAGGGGGGTTGCGTGTCACATCGGCCGCATTCGCTTGCATGGCAGCTGTTCTGGCTGGTTCTGCGCCCTCCAGGGAGGGCATGGACGCCCCCGGGACCACCGTGCCGCGCCTTTCGCCCGTGCGATACTGCGGGTGGTGCGCGGGACCCCTCGGGCGAGGGGAGTCGCTGGCCCTGGCCGAGGGCGGGTCCCTCCTGGAGGTCTGCGAGCTGTGCTACATCATCGGTCTGATTCGGCAGGCGGCGTGGCGCGCCCGCCTCAGCGTGGAGGAGAGGGCGGCGCTGCTCGACTCCGCCCGGCTCCTGGGCGCGCTGCTCTCCGCGCTCGCCGGCCTGGGGCTCGATGGCGCCGAAGGCGAAGGCCGTCGCCAAGGGCAAAGCCAAGGCTAAGGCTGAGGCGAAGGCCTTGGGCCGAGGACGCGCCCGCGGCCGAGGGCGCGGCGCCGGCGGCCTCGGGCGAGGAGCCGCGGGGAGAGGCGGAGGTGCCGCCGCCTTCCCGCCTGTTGCCCCGGGCCTGGCGGCGGCCGCGGCGGTCGGCGGCGCCGCGGCGGCCGCGCCCGCGGGCGGCGGTGCCGGCGCGCCCGTGGTGCCTGGCCTGGCGGCGCTGCCCGGCCTGCCAGGCTCCGGAGGCGGCGGGGCTGCTGGGGCGCCCCCGGCGGGCGGCGCCGTGCCTGACGGCGGAGGTGCTCCCCCCGGCGGCGTGGGCGCCGCGCTGGTGGGCGCGGTCGCGGGCGGCGGCGGCGGCCCTCCTGGAGGCCCTCCTCCTGGTGCGGTGCCCGGGGCCCCGACAATCCCCGGCGGTGTGCCGATCGCGGTGGCTGGCGGTCCCATCGCCCCAGCGGGCGGCGCGCAGCTGGGACCACTCGTGGACGGTCCGCGGCGTCAGGCCGTGACTCTGATTGGCGCCGACTGGCGCCGAGGGGTGAATCTCGAGCTCCCGACCTTCGACGCAGCTGGAGGCATCAGCGGGATGGCCCTCTTCGAGGTAGAGGAGATCGGCACCACGGGCCCCTCAGGGCAGTACCTGAGCGCCCAGTTCAGGGGGGCGTCGCTGGCGGCCGAGGCGATGCGGCTGGACGGCCTGTTCCCACCGCGCGGCACCGGGCCTGCGGGCAGGGACCGGCGCTGTGCGGGGAGCCCGCTGTGCCAGGCCGAGGAGTCCTGCATGTCGAGTGGCTGCGGCTGCGCTCGAACCGCGGGTTCGTGGAGCCGTGGGTGCGGCCGAGCGCCTTCGGTGGGCGCGGCGGTGGCGGCGCCTTGGCGGGGGGCGCCCCAGCCGGGGGCGCGGCCCCCGACCGCCTGGCGGCAGCTGCCGCGGCGCGCGCGCAGGCCGCTACGGCGACGCCTGGCCGCGCCGGCGGCGGTCGCGGCCGCCGCCGCCCCCGGAGCTCCTCGGCCTCGCGCAGCGACGACGACGGTGAGTCGCGTTTTCGCGAGGCCCCCTCCCGCGGCGGCAGCGTGCGGCTGCTGGCGGAGAAGCGCCCAGGTGCCCTGTACGACGAGGCGATGAAGAACATCGGGCGCGTCATGGGCCTGCGGGAGGGGGCGGACGGCTCAGAGGTTCGAGCGAAGGTCGTGGGCTACCTGCAGGCCGCGGTGTTCGGCCATCACCCTCCAGGGCAGATGCGGATCAACACTCAGCGGGAGCTGCAGACGCTGGCGACCGCGCTGGACCTGCTGGAGTGTGGGTGCCTGGCGGAGTTGAGCGACGTGTTGATGCAGCGCTTCAAGGCTCTGGAGCTGTCGCTGTCCGACGCGAGCTGGCAGGTGGCGAGCGAGCTGGAGATCGTGCCGGACGCGCGGCCCTCGCTGGCCTCGATGGGCGAGCAGGACCTGGCGCGGCGGGCGGCACTGCTGCGCAGGAGGCTGATGGACGCGAAGAGCCGCGGCGCCCTTGGCGGCAAGGGCCAGGGCGAGCGCCAAGCCTGACCCGAGGAGGCGATGGCAGAGTGGCGCGAGTGGGCTGGCGCGGCGAGTGATCTTCTGCGAGAACCTTTCTACGTGGGCCCCGTGTTGTTGAACATAGTCCGCCAGTTCCCAGGCTCCTTCGGTCGCTTCACTAGATATTCCCTCGAGGTAAAGCCACGCGAGCATCCGGCCGACATGGGAGGTCGGCTTCAGCGAGATCTGTTGCCGTTACCATGCCCTTCGATCGCCAGGTCCCAGATCGCCCAGCAGGGCGAGGACCCTTTGAGCGACAAGGAGTGGGAAGGACTACACTGCAGGCTGGTGGTCACTGTCCTGGCGCTAAACTGGGAGTCTGGGTTCCGCTCCCTGAAGCTGGCCAGGCCCTGCCGAGGTCGAGCCAACGCCGCGCAGCAGGCAGCCCTGGTCGCTCTCGGCCGCCGCCTTCTCTTGGCTACGCGGGCCGAGTCTGCTTTGCCGCCAGATCTTGACTGGAACGTGCGGCTGAAGGACCGCAAGATCGGCTGCGGCGGGGGCGAGATCTCGGCCCCGCATCGGCTGACGCTGGAGCAGGTGCTGGACGGGCTGCCTCCGCCGGGCGTCGCGGCCTCCATCGAGGCGGCCGACCTCGCGACGGGGTTCGTGCGTGAGACCCTCCTGGGCCCGACGCCGGTGCTGCTGCCCGCTGCCCTGCGGCGGCCCGCGCCGACATCTGCGCGCGCGTGGGCCTCGCTCGAGGAGTGGCATCGGATTGTGCGGGCGCTCCACGAGCGCGGGATGGTGTCGGCGATCCCGAGCAGCGAGATTGCCTGTCGCGACGGAGCCCCGCTCCTGAACGGGGCGTTCGGGGTGCCCGAGCCCCGCGACGAGCCCGTGGTCTGCAGCGACGGCGAGCGCAGGCCGGTCCTGAGGCTGATCACCAACCTCATTCCCTCGAACGCGTGCCAGGAGTGCATCGTGGGAGACACCCCTGAGATGCCGACCATGAGCCAGCTGAACGGCCTGGTGCTGACCGAGTCGGAGGATCTCCTGTTGAGCGGCGCGGACATAAAGGCCTTCTTCTACGTCTTCCGCGCGCCGCCTGCGTGGTGGCCTTACATGGTGATAGGGCCGCCCGTCCCCTCGGAGTTGCTTGGCCTGAAGGACGGTGGTGCCACGCACATCTGCCTGCGGGTGATCGGCATGGGCTGGATCAGTGCCGCGGGCGTGACGACCCACCTCCACCGGAACATGCTGCGGCGGAGCGCCTCTGTCCCTCGCGGCCTGCCGCCCAGCCAGGAGATTACTCGGCGCCGACGGCTGCCGTTCAGCGTGGAGAAGCCGTGCCCTCCGGCGTGGATGGTCTACATTGACAACCTGGAGGTCGCGGAGGTCGTGAGCAAGTCCGAGGCCACGACGCTGCGAGGGGCGGTGCCCGAGCTCATCTCGGGGGCTCGCGCCTGCTATGCGGCTGCGGGCTCCCCGGGGTCGCCGGCCAAGGACATCCATCGAGTGCCGCGAGCGACGACCTTGGGGGAGCTCATCGAAGGGGTCGAGGGCGTTCGGCGGCCCCCTGCGGGTTACCTTACAGAGATGGCCAGCCTCACGCTGTGGACGCTGAGCAAGAAGCGGGCCAGCATGCGGCTGGTGCGCATTCTGCTGGGCCGCTGGGTTCGTGTTCACTGCTTTCGGCGGCCACTGGCGGCCAGCTTTGCCTACACCTGGAAGTGGCTCGGGAACCCGCGCACTGGCGGCCGCTTCAGCGTGAGCGTGGTCGAGGACCTCTTGATGTGCCTTGCGCTGTCAGGGCTTGCCTCGAAGTCGACCCCCTGGTGACCGCGTCGGATGCCTCGGAGGCCGCTGGCGCCGTGGTCTACGGCTACGCCCTCTCCGACCGCGGGCGCGCGCTGGCCGAGAGGCGGCAGCGGCCTGCGAACGCCGCCTGCGAGGAGGAGACCGCCCTCGTGACTGTCTTCGACGGCATCGGCGGCGGGCGCCGGGCTTTCGAGATCCTCGGACTGGTCCCTGCCGTGCACCTGTCATTCGAGGTTGACCCCACGGCGGTGCGGGTGGCCCGGCGCAGCTACCCCAGCACGCAGCACCTGGGGGACGTGACGGAGGCGGACCCGGCGGCCCTGGCAGCCCTGCTGCGCGCCCGAGGCCGGGTGTCGCGTGTGCTGGTGGTGGGCGGCTTCCCGTGCCCGGTCTTCGCGGGCCTCAACGTTGCTCGGCAGGGTCTCGACGACCCGCGCGCGGGCCTGGTTGACCACATGGTGCGGATCGTGGACGGGCTGCGGACGGCCATGCCGGAGGCGTCGATCGACTTCCTCGGGGAGAACGTCGCGTCGATGCCCGAGTGCGACGTGCTGCGCCTGAACCAGCTCTTCGGCCGCATCCCGCTGGAGATTGAGGCGGGGGATGTCGGCTGGGTCAGACGTCCGCGGCTCTACTGGGCTTCATGGGACTTCCTGCCGTCCTTCGAGGCTGAGCCCGTCGTGGTGCGGGCCAAGACCCAGGACGTTCGGCGCGCCTGCAAGGTGGCGCTGAAGGCGGAGCGGCCGCCGCTCGAGGAGTGGCTCCCGCCCGGGGCTGTGTGTCCGGGTCCCGCTGCAGGGGGGCCGCTCCCGACCTTCGTGCGCTGGACGCCGCGCTCGCAGCCGCGCCCCAGGCCTGCGGGCATCGGGGAGTGCAGCGCTGCTGAGCTGGCGCGCTGGGAGGCGGCGGGCTTCGCTTCGCCGCCCTACCAGTTCCGTGATAAGTGGTGCATCCACCAGGCGGATGGCCGCGTGGAGCCGCCTGACGCGACCATACGAGAGAAGCTGATGGGCTTCCCGGAGGGCCACACCGCGCCGTGCATGACGAGCAGCCAGGCGAAGGCCGAGCCCGCCAAGTACGAGGCTCTTCGGCGGTCGCTCGTGGGCAACTCCTTCCAGTGCGAGGTCGTGGCCTGGATCATCAGCCACTGGGCCGTCGGAGCTGGGCTGCTGGTCTCGGTGCCCTCGCTGGGTGAGCTGCATGAGAGTGCGCGAGCCTGGGCTGGTGGCAGGAAGCTGTGGGCCGGCGACGTGACGTCGCTGCGGTGCGGTCGCTCCGAGATCGACGAGGGCCTGCACGCCAAGCTGGACCAGGCTGGCGGGCCCGTCTACGCGGGTCGTGGGTCTCGCCGCTGGGGGCTGGCTGCCTCGCGGTGGGGCAACCCTTTCACGATCAGCCCCGAGCGGTCACGCGAGGGCGCTGTTGCCCTGTTCGCTGGTTGGACCCGCACGCAGCCCACCTTCCTGCAGAGCTTGGAGACGCTGCGCGGGGCCCTACTGGTCTGTCATTGTGGGCCCGACCAGGCGTGCCATGCCGACATCCTCTTGGCGGAGTTGGCGAAGCGTGACGTGGTGGAGTGGCGCGAGGTGGACGCGTCCAGACGCATCGTCATGGGGCTCGTCATGGCGTGCCACAACAACGGAGCAGACATCAGGACCGATGGCGCCTCGGAGGCGCTCGGCAAGATCTTCCCGCGGCAGGAGATCGACTCAGGCATTTGGCGGTCCGCAAGGCAAGGCAGCTAGTGTGGGATGCAGCAGAGCACATCAACGTTCTTGAGTGCCAGGGCGCGCTGATGATGATTCGATGGCGGGCGCGGTCGGTGCGCCGCCATCAGTGCGTCTTCCTGCACCTGCTCGACAGCATGGTCAACATCGGTGCGCTGTCCAAGCACAGTTCCAGCAGTCCTCAGCTCAACAAGGTGGTGCGGACCTTCTCGGCGTGGGAGCCTGCGATGGGCGCGCGGGCGGTCTTCGGCTTCGCGTCGTCGGCTCGCAACCCCGCGGACGCCCCCTCGCGTCTCCGCGATGGGTAAGAAGCGGAGTAGCCCTGCTGACCGCCGCGCCGCCAGAGCTGGACTTGGGGAAGCTGAGAGACGCCAGGATAAGGGCCTCGACACTGGCCCGCTACCGTGGCGCCGCTCAGCGTTTTGTTGACTACCTTGCTGCCAATAATCTGCCGCTGCCTTTCACGCGGGACGATATTGATATCTGCCTGCAAGATTATCTCGAGCACTTGTGGGCCGAGGGCGCCACCAAAAGGAGAAGCCAATGACGCCCTCAGCGGCGTGCAGCACCTGCTGAGGACACGACGCCGCTATCCTGGCGCTTGGCAGCTGCTGACAGTCTGGGGCAGACTGGAGATCCCTCAGCGCGCGCCGCCGATGCCTGCCCAGGTGTGCACGGCGCTCGCCGGTTGGGCGCTCAGCCGCGGAGAGGTGGCCTTCGCGGCCGTGCTGCTCGTGGCCTTCCATCTCTGTCTCCGCACTGGCGAGGCTTTGGGGCTGAGCGGCGGCGTCATCTTTCTGAAGCCCTGTGGCCGAGGCGCGGTTTCGCTGCCCTGGACCAAGACCTCTTGCCAGAAGGGCGCGCGAGAGCAAGTCGCGCTTGACGACCCGCTGGTTGGGGCAGTCGTCCATGTGCAGCTCCAGTGTGACAGCCGGCTCTGGCCTGGCACGACGCGCGCCTTTCACGACTTGTTCCGTATTGGGCTCCAGCAGATCGGTTGCAGGCACCTCGCCCTGTCTCCTTGCAGCCTGAGGCGGGGAGGTGCCACGCATGTGTTCCTGCTGTCGGGCGACTTGTCTAAGGTCATGCTGCGTGGGCGCTGGAGCTCGGCAAGAACGGCATATATTTACATCCAAGACGGGGCTGCCATCATCGCAGAGATGAAGCTCCAGGATCGTACCCGTTCGACGCTCCAGCAGTTCTCTAATGCACTTTTCGCTCGAGTCCGAGCGTTTTGCAGCCCGTGACCTGCCGCAATAATTTTTGATGTCTGGTGCGAGCTGCTGCCCGCGCTGCCGTCGCCAGGCTTGACATATCTTCGGCCTGCGGCCAGAGGAAAAACACAGAATGGAGAGCTTGGTGTCTTTTTCGAGAGTTGGCGAGCTTCTTGGGCACGGCCCTGCTGGGCTCTCAGGGGGTTCTCTTTGCTGGGCCCCCCCAAGGCCGTCGAGCCCCCCCTGCCCCCCGAGGCCGTGGAGCGTTCTGGCCCCAGTCTCCCGTGATGGTGGCCGACCCCAGTCTGCGGATGGTGGTCTGCGAATCCAGCTCTGGCCTCGGGGTGCGGTCTGTGCTCTGGCGTGGGGGGTCGGTCCGTGCAAAAGAGAGTAGACCTTTCGAGTTCCGTGCAGAGGCCTCTGCAATTATAAATATAGTGCCCATGGGAGTTTAAGCTCTGTCAACAGCTTTGGCCGATTGAAGAGGGAAAGACATTTCTCCTTAATTCGATGAGCTATCGCTCACCCCCCGCCTGCCCCACACATGTATACGTTTACGGTAGATGTGTGGGCGTCAGGGGGGGTGCGTGTCACATCGGCCGCATTCGCTTGCATGGCAGCTGTTCTAGCCCACCCACATACAGCCCTAAGTGGCGAATGCATTGAGTCTCGCGAGAGCTCGAGCTTCTTGGGCACGGTCCTGCTGGGCTCTCAGGGGGTGCTCTTTGCTGGGCCCCCCCCCCCAAGGCCGTCGAGCCCCCCCTGGCCCCCGAGGCCGTGGAGCGTTCTGGCCCCAGTCTCCCGTGATGGTGGCCGACCCCAGTCTGCGGATGGTGGTTTGCGAATCCAGCTCTGGCCTCGGGGTGCGGTCTGTGCTCTGGCGTGGGGGGTCGGTCCGGGCAAAAGAGAGTAGACCTTTCGAACTCCGTGCAGAGGCCTCTGTAAATATAAATATAGTGCCCATGGGAGTTTAAGCTCTGTTAACAGCTTTGGCCGATTGAAGAGGGAAATACATATATATATGTATGTATATCTATACACGCGTTTATAGATATATACACATATACATTTATGCACGAATCATAGGTGTTGTGATCCGCCAAGAAGGGAATCTATGTACTTGGCACCGCTCGGACGTGTGCATTTGTCTCGGCGACGGCTATCGAGAGGCATATTGTATTATGTCACGGAGAAATGAGCGTACGACATCGAGAATTGCACGGGGATTGGACGTCCGAGCGATGGCGAGTGTATATTCGACTCAAACAAACTTGTTCCCCATTCCACTCACATGAATCCTTTTGCATTCCAGCGCACAATGAATACTTCTGTAATGCGCCAATTCCTTTGATGGCGGAATACCGAGTCCGGAATACAAGCGAATTCTTTGGTGGCAAAATGCAGAAGGATCTCCGTGGTGGCGGAATGCAAAGATATCCCCGTTGCGGCAGAATGCGCAAGCATTCCTCTTGTGGCGAAATACCAAGAGAGTCCTGCTGTGATAGATTACAAGGGGATTTGGTTTGTCGCGGAATACAAGATGAATCCCATTGTGGCCGAATACAAAAAGGGTCTTCCTTGTGGCGGGATACCAAAGGGTTCCCGTTGTGGCAGAGTACTTAATGATTCCTAATGTGGCGGAATGCCAAACAAGTCTTTGTTGTGGCCCTTTTGGCGGAATGCAAGGTTTTTTTTTGTGACAGAACACTATACGGATTCTTTGTGTGGCGGGTTCTCTTTGTAGTGAATTACTACGGAATTTTCAGTGTGGCAGAATTTGCCAAATCCTCATGTACTTGATTTCCCCGGGTTTTCTTTTTTGCGGCGCTATGCGAAGATAATTCTTTGTGGCCGAACACAGAAGGGTCACCCTCGTGACAGAATGCAGCAGGATTCCCTGTGTGGTAGAATACAAACGTTTTTCCAACCATCTTGTGGTGTTGGGTCCTCGTTTTGAAGAGACGGTGCCCCGCGTTCCTCCTCTCCTTCTCCTCCCCCTCCTTGCCTTTGCTCTTCGCATGTCTCTGTTTCGGTGCACCCAGTACAGCGCTTCGTGGCCCCATAGGGAGCTGCACCCAAGGTCCCAGTGGTGGAACTCGCATGGCATCCCCGCCCCATTTTGGCACGCCCCTCACACGTTTCGCGGCCCCATAGGGAGCCCCACCTAAGGTCCCAGTGGGGGAATCCGCATGGCATCCCCGCCCCATTGTGGCACGCCCCTCACACGTTTCGTGGCCCCATAGGGAGAACCACCTAAGGTCCCAGTGGCGGAACTCGCATGTCATCCCCGCCTTTTTTTGGCACACCCCTCACTGATTTCGTGGCTCCACAGGGAGTTCCACCTAAGGTCCCAGTGGTGGAACTCGCATGGCATCCCCGCCCCATTTTGGCACGCCCCTCACACGTTTCGTGGCCCCATCGGGAGCCCCACCTAAGGTCCCAGTGGGGGAACTCTCATTGCATTGCCGCCCCATTTTGGCGCACTCCTCACACATTTCGTTCTCCCATAGGGAGAACCACCTAAGGTCCCAGCGGCGGCACGCGCATGGCATCCCCGCCCCTTTTTGGCACGCCGTTCAATCGCTTCTTGGCCCCATAGGGAGCCCCACCTAAGGTCCCAGTGGTGGAACTCGCATGGCATCCCCGCCCCATTTTGGCACGCCCCTCATACGTGTCGTGGCTCCATAGGGATGTCCACCGAAGGCCCCAGTGGCAGGCTTTGCATGGCGGCCCCGCCCCATTTTGGTACGCCCCTCACACGCTTCGTGGCCCCATTAGGAGCTCCACCGAAGGCCCCAGTGGCAGGGTTCGCATGGCGGCCCCGCCCCAGTGTGGCGCCCTCCTCACACGCTTCTTGGCCCCATCGGGAGCTCCACCTGAGGTCCCAGTGGCGGAACTCGCATGGCGTCGCCACCTCCCTCAGAGGGAGCTCCACCTAAGGTCCCAGCTGTGGAACTCGCATTTCGGCGCCGCCCTATGTTGGCACGCCCGAAAAGTGACGGCCCTCGCCAGGGAGCCAGGCTTCACCGAGTTTATCCGCGAGGCTTGACCTGAGGAACGGCCCGCCCGAGATTCGCGTCTCTCGACGGTCTGACTGTTTGGCTTCGCGCCGCGTGTGACCCGCGCGCGTCGCTGAGACCCTCTCGGGGCGACCAGCGCGCGTCGTGGGAACTGCATGCTGCGCTCTGCCCAGCGCCTCGCTCGCCCCAGTCGTCGTTCTGGCCAGCGGCCAGAGCCTTGCCCGCTATCGGCCAGCTAGCTCCGCGCAGCGGGCGACCCGCGCGCGTCGCCGGGACCCCTTCGGGGCGACCAGCGCGGGTCGCGGGGGTTGCGCGCGGCGCCGCGCCCGCAGTCTTGGACATCGGCGTGCGCGGGCGCGGCGCCGCACGGGAGGAACGGAAGGACGCGGGCGCGATCCTCGCGGGGGGCGCGCCGACATGGGCGTCGACATTTTTGCGCGTAGGCTCACGCGCGCGAAGACCCGTTCACAATCACATTCGCTCGCGTTCAAACTCGCCCGCCCTCAGTCTCTCGCACGAATGCCTATCGTCTTCGCTCGCGTTGCGTACCCCGCCGCGGATGTCGGCGCGCCCCTCGCGCGGTTCGTGGCCCCGTGGCGAGCGCGGGCGATGATGGTATCCACGATCGCTGTATTTACATCTGCACTGCATATGGTTGGGTCCTTCGCCAGGCTATTTTTTTCGTGGCGGAACACTAAGGCATTCCGTGTGCGGTGGATTACTAAGGAATTCTTTGTTGTGACAGGATACAGAAGGATTCCGTGGTTGCTTACCAAAATATGCTTTTTGGCGGAATGCAGAACTAATCGTTTTGTGGCCATATACCCAAGGTCCCCTCTTGTGATGGAATGCAGACGACTTCCCGTTGTGGCAGATAAAAACAAGCGGATTGCTCGTTGCGGAATACAGCGGATTTTGCCGTTAGTGGATTACCCAGAAATTCTTTTGTGACAAAACGCAAGATGAACCTTTTTGTGGTTGATTGTCGCTGGATTATTTGTGTGGCGGGATGCAAACGGAAACCTTGCGTGGCCGAGTACAATCGCGCTTCTCTGCGGCGAAGTAGCATGGGATTACTTTTTTTGTGGCGGGGTACTGAGGGAATCTTTGTTCGATGGATTACTAACAGATTCCTGTGCAGCAGAATACAAAAAGAGCATTTTTTCTGTGGTTGATTGCCAGGGGATTCATTTTTGTGGCGGGGTGCAGAACGAATCCTATTGTGGACGACTGCAAAAAAGGATCCATTCCCTTTTTTGCAGAATACAAGGATTCTTTGCGGTGGAATACTCAAGGAATTAGCTTGCTGCTGAGTGGTAGCGAGCTCTTTTTGTGGCAGAATACAAGAGCAACGTTTTCTGCGGTTGATTACCCAAGGATTTCCTTTTGTGGCGGAATGTAAAGGGCATCCTTCTGTGGCCGACTACAACGTGGCAGGGTGCAGCAGGATTGGTTTTGTGGCGGAATGAAAGGGGTGCCCTTTTGTGGCGGAGTACACAAGAGTTCCTTGTAAGGATGAGGAGGAAGAGGAGAAGGAGGAGGAGGAGGAGGATAACGAGGAGGAGGGGGATGGCTGGGAAACGGCAGCAGTGGTTTATGACACAGACTAGCCAACTTGCGCAGCCGCTGCTGGAAATCAGAGAGAAACACAACACATCAACACAAACACATCGTTTTGAGGTCCCGCCAAAAATCACAGCGCTTTCAGCTGCCAGGAGGGAGAGGCAGAGTACGGGAGGAACCCTTCTGTGGTTGATTGCCACGGGACCCCCTATGTATCGGAATGCCACGGGAATCCGGATGTTGTCGGGTACAAAACGTTCCCCGTGTGGCGGAATACAAAAGGATTTTTTTTTGTGGCGGAATAGGATTCTCTTTGTGGCGGAATACTACTGTCATAGTTGTTCCGGTGGATTACGCGAGGAATCTTTCTGTTGCTGAATATAAGAGAAATGTGTTATGCGGTTGATTGTCAAGGGATTCCTTACGTGGCGGAATGCAACGGGACTCTGTGTGTGGTCGAATACAAAAAAAGCTCCTTTTGTTACGGGATACAGCAGGACCCCCTTTGTGGCAGAAAACCTCTGGACTCTTTTGGTGGCGGAATGCAAAAGGACTCCCTTGGTGGCAGAATGTTGGTGGAAATTTACGCGGTTGATCCGTAAGGGCTTCGCCCCCTGCCGCCGGCCCCCTCTCTCGGAGAATGGGCCATGGAAGAGCGAAGTCATGAGGCTTTGGTTTTGCCGTGTAGCAGTGTCGGGACCTATTTGTTTTTCGACCCTGATCCTGACGATCTGCGTGAGGGGTGCCGCCGAATTTCAGACATGTGGCAAATCCCTTCTGTTTTTGCACCCTGACCCTACGGATCTGCGTGAAGGGTGCCACCGAATTTCAGAAATGTTTCAAATCCCATATGTTTTTGGACCCCGACCCCGCCGATCTGCGTGAGGGGTGCCACCGAATTTCAGAAATGTGGCAAATCCTTTGTGTTTTTGGACCCTGACCCTGCGTCAGGGGTGCCATCGAATTTCAAACATGCGGAAAATCCCTTGTGTTTTTGGACCCTGACTGACCCCGCCGATCTGCGTGAGGGATTTCAGAAATGTAGCAACTTCCCAGTGTTTTTGACGCTGACCCCGCCGATCTGCGTGAGGGGTGCCAGGAAGTTTAAGACATGTGGCAAATCCTTTTTGTTTTTGGACCCTGACCCCGCCGATCTGCGTGAGGGGTGCCACCGAATTCAAAACATGCGGCAAATCCCATATGTTTTTGCACCCTGACCCTACGGATCTGCGTGAGGGGTGCCACCGAATTTTAGAAATGTGGCAATTCCCTTGTGTTTT